ATCCAAAAGTAGTCCCATGACCAATCATGGTTTTGTTATTCTTGAGAAGATGATTTTTAAAAATTTTCCTTTATATGTCTATGTAAAACTTTGATCGGCCATTGGAGCCTTGCCTTACCCCCGGGGTTCATAATTGGAAGAAACTAGGGTCTACACTACCTGACAATGCTTAAGGAATCACTGTCTAGTTTGTATAGTATGCCAGAGCATCGGCAAAAGTGGGAAACATGGGATAATTTGCATAATGGACGAAGTTGTTATGCATAAATTATCCCATGTTTCCAACTATTGTTGATGTCCCTGGCATACTACACTAACTAGACAGTGATTCCTTATATTTCCGTTTCTTTGTATAATAAAACTGTAGATTTTGACTTTAAAAATGAAGACATAAAATTAAATTATACGAGGATTCCTATCCCCGGATTTTAATAGTCCTTGCCCACTGACGTCAAACACAACGGCAGCCGCATGAGATTTTCATGCATATTTGGCCTCCTAAGCATCAGACTCGGAGTCGGATGTGCACGAGATTTCAATGCATTTTAGGCCTCATTAGCTCCTGACATACTGACCTGCCTAATTGACATTCCGGTGGAATTATCGAGAAATTAACTCTGCTAACTTTCAAAGAGTTATCACAGAGAGAAAAATTAGAAAGAAAATATTTCCCGATAAATATAATCAATTTTAGCTTTTCCATTCTTGAGAAGATATTTAAAAGAATTTTCCTATATATTTCTATGTAAAACTTGGGTCGGCCATTGTGGCCCCGCCCTACCCCCCGATTTGAACAACTTGAATCTACACTACCTGGGAATGTTTCTCCATAAGTTTCATCTTTCCAGGCACAGTATTTCTTGAGAAGAAGATTTTTAAAACATGCCACTAAATTTTCATTAATTCCAAATTATAGCCCCTTGAATGAGGGCATGGCCCTTCATTTGAAAAAAAACTTGAATTCTCTTCACACAAGGATGCTTTGTGGCAAGTTTGGTTGAAATTGGCCCAGTGATTATTGAGAAGAAGTCGAAATGAGAAAAGTTTACAGACAGACAGCTGGAGAAACAGGTATACAGACGGACGCCGGACAAAATGTGATCAGAAAACCTCACTTGAGCCTTCGGCTCAGGTGAACTAAAAAATGAAACTTATGTGACAACTTCCTGAAGGTAGTGCAGATTTTTAATTGTTCAAAACATGTCCCCCGGGAGTAGGGCGGTACCACAATTTGGAATCCAAGTTTTACATCGAACTAAAAAGGAAAATCTTTTTAGATCACCTGAGCTGGAAGTTCAAGTGAGCTTTTCTCATCACCTGATGTCTGTAGTCCGGCCGTCTGTACGTTCGTACGTCCGTCTGTAAACTCTTGACGTTTTCAACTTCTTTTCAAGAACCACTTGGCCAAATTTATCCAATTTTGGTACAGAGCATCCTTGAGCGAAGCAAAGTTTCAATTGTCAGAATGGAGGGTCAAGGTCCCTACAAGAGGGGATAATGAAGAAAAGACAAAAAAGGTGGGGTTGTTAAAGAAAATCCTATCAAGAACCTCTGGGCCAAAACATTTGTAAATTTGTTAGATTTATGACCTTTATTTTTGGAGGTAGGGCTAGGCCACCATAGAGTATCAAAAATTTAATTAAGATACATTGGGGGAATCAAAATCTTCTTTTCATGAACAACTGAGCCAGGAAAGCTGAAACTTATGTTGAAGCATCCTGGGGTAGTGAAAATTCTAAATTGTTAGAAAGTTAACCCCCAGGGGGTCACAATAGGGAATCCAAGTTTTACTTTAAAATATATATAGAAAACACCTTTAAAAATCTTCTTCTCAAGAACAATTAGGTCACAAAATCTGAAACTCATACGTAAGTGTCCTGGGGTAGTGTAGGTTCTAAATTGTTAAAATTACAACCCCTGCAGATAGGGCTGGCCGCAATATGGAATACACATGTATAAGATTTACATGAAATATATAGAAAAAAATCTTTAAGATCTTCTTCTCAAGACCCACTGGGTCAGGAAAGCTGATACTTACATGGAAGCATCATTGGGTTGTGTAGGTTCTAAAGATTTAACATTATGGCATGGAAGGGGTAGGGGTCCACAAAAGGTATAAAAAGAGGGGAAATTTAGTAAAGAACTACATCACCAAAGTTACTCATGATCAAGTGAGCAATGTGGTCCAGGGCCTCTTGTTTGCAATAAGTACTGGGCCAAAAAAGCCAGAATTTATATGAAAGCATCTTTGGGTAGTGTAGATTCTAAATTGTTCAAAGCATGGCCCCTTTTTGTGTGGAAGCGGCGCAATGGTCCCATGGGCTTCTTGTTTACTGTACATGTGTACCCCTCGAGAATTTTATTACTCATATGGAGACAACAACACTTGTCAATGGAGAGCTACACATACTGTCCAATATTCGGCACTGAGAGGTAAAGTCAGAAAGGAATCTTTTCTGTGCTAGTACCCACTGAGACACAGAATCTCGTTTTATACCTTTCAATCGTCAACTTTCCTTACTTATGCAGCAATACATGTAAACCTTCATCAACTGCATACGGGATTTATATCTCTCAGTTGATTCAATACAGAAGAGTATGCTCTACGTGTAAACAATTTCTAAAACGAGGAAGAAAAGATTATCAACAGGCTTGTTTAAAGTCAACATTTTGTTAGTTCTATAGTCTATACAAAGACTTCGCCAGCATATACTTGTACATGCACAATTTGTCATTAATTGTAATTATTTCCACACTAAATTGTCGACGGATTTTCCCAATCATGACAAGTAGCACACGCCTGATGTGACCCTTCGGCAGGGGTGCTTACTCCTTCATGGCACCTAACTCCTAAGGAGGAATTAATTAGAAGGACAAACTTTATTTTATTCCATGTTGGTAAGCACGACCAATCATAACAATACAACAATCCAAGAAAAAGGCGCAAAGATAGCTTACTAAGTGACATTTGGCAGGAAAAGAGCGATTCACCCCTCTTATAGAATATAAATTGACTGATGCAGTGGTGTAGTGGGAAAAAAAGGGATACACGTACATATTGAAATGGTGAACGGTGAATCACATTGAATAATAACATTGTATAAAGAGTAAAGGAAGTAATACTGCAGTATTTTGCATTAGTAATATCGTTCTTTTTCTGAAAACTGTTTCTTTTAAAATGCAGGTAAAGAGTTCAAATGTAAATCAGCTAGCTCTCTTGGTATAATCGCATAGTTTCGGTTCTTGCAAATATTAATCCGTATATCAATCGGCTATCCTCGGATGACTCCATCCAAACGTTATGTGCGAGATACGAGTCATCCGAGGAACTCCGGGTGTCCTTATATACAGCCTGACACCGTGACGTCAGGCAATCATTCACCTTGCGTCATTTTCAAGTGCAATTTTTGTACCACATTCCAGGCACGTAGCATCGTTTCTTTTTTTACTTACCTGAAAAGGTTGAAAAAAAGAAAATTAAAAGTTGCCCACACTCGAAAATCCTATTTCATGGGGGTTGGGGGGGGGGGGGGGGGTAGTAGCCAACTTTTTCAAAGCCAAGTTACTTTCAATTCCAAATTTTTCCACAATTCTTTGCTATATATCACTATACTGTGCAGGCATGTATCATCGATTTTGAAAGTGAGGGGGGCAGCCAGAGAAAATCCTATTTCGGGGGGGGGGGGGGGGGGGGGGGGTCGAGGCAAACTTTTTTCACTACCAATTCCTTTCAATATCAATTTTTTTTAGCTGACAATACTATATTCCCTTTATATTAATTTACTTTAGTACTAAGTGGGGGTGGGGTGGGGTGGGGGGGGAGGGGGGGGGGGCAACCAGTCTTTGGCGACCATTTTCAATAGTAAAAGTATTGTTGGCCAAAAAAGGGGGGGGGGGCAGACAATACAGTATACATGCAGTGTATGTATTATGCTTATTGAACTATATAGAAATCAAATGAGTTTGTGTAAACTAAGTACATCAAACGTATTTACATTTCTAAACATTCAGATGCCTTATGATAAATAATTTATATCAGTTAATATTTTAAAAGAAGACGGGGGATAAGTGCCTATATCATTTATATTGCGACAGATAAGAAGTGTAAAATTTAATCTCAATTATAGCCATATTTTATTTGATATTTCATCTAGGCCTAATATTAAAGTATTCTTAATGTAAAATCTCTTCAATTTACTTAAATCTCACAAAGACTGTGTTTATTTGCCTATAAAAAAGTATACGATACGATAAATAGAGCGGAAATGGAAAAGAAAAGAGCACAGATTTCCCATGGTGCGTGGATTTTTAATGAATATTATTTTTATAGTTTTTTTTTAAATACGAGCGCGCGGGTCCGACGAACAAAATTTTTTATTGGTATGGCCTAACTATCATGGTTACAGATACATATTTCCAATCAGCGAAAATGTTTCAATCATTCAAGACTCTACATATGTAAATTTTGATTAAAAGTTACAAAGTTCCAAAAGATATTTTATATTTAATTTGTTAAAAAGAAGTTTATTAATAAATTGTTTATATCAAATTTTAATATATTCAAATTCTAGAAATAAACTATGATGCATTATTATTTCCATTTCAAACTTCGAAATGCATTTAAACGACCTACGGGTAAATCTTTTAAAATAAAATTACTTATCAGACCTGACGCCCCCTTTTTTGGTGTACTCTCTATACAGATTGATATGATTGTACATGTATAAAATAAAATCAACCTTAAACAATCACATAAAATAGGTAAGGTTCATGAACTTTGTTTACTGATTATTGTTGTACGTATTTATATGTGGAACAGTAACGTTTTTTCGCCCTAAAAGATTAAGTATATCCCCTTTATTGTATACTTTTCATTTGACATGAGGAAAAAAGTATTGTAATGAATACAAGTTATTTTCATTTACAATAATCATGGTAATGAAATCTACCATATTGTCATTCACTAACTTACTTGGGCTATATTTCTATGATATAGATAATTTTGCAAAGATATTAAAGTTATTGCAAGTTGGAACTGATGCAATAAGAATCTGCTTCGATAAATTTTTCCCAAAAGAAGAACTAGATAAGACTCTGAAAGAAAATGAAACAGACATGAGAAGTGGACAATTCCGATTCTTACCACCTCAACTGGAGATTCTCTTCCCAAAGCAAAGTACTTATTGGTTGTCTTTCTTTAATGATAAATGTTATGTTTCTTAAAATATTTTGTAGCATAAAGAAACTTAAAAGTCCGTAAAAAGATTTTTGTTATGATATGAAAGTTTCTGTACTATATATCTCCTAATATGTTTTAACAACGACATTTTATTCCCTAAATAAATAATTACTTTATTCCTTAACTAAATAATAACTTTTTTTCTTACCAAGAACATTTTAACCCTAATTTTTTTTTTCATTTTACCATATTTTACTAATGACTTACATTAAGAAGAAGCATTTATTCCATTCAAAAGTATCCCTTTTGAAATAGTACTGGAAAAAAGTAAATAAAAAAGGAATATAAAAATAAACTTAAAAAGTCTACAAATAAAAAGAAAAAAAATGATATCAAAACAAGAATGTGAAAATAAAGTTTAAGTTTAAATTTATTTAACATGTTTAATAATATAAGTTTAAATATATTTAATGTTACCAAAGTTTGTAGGGACTATAATTGGTAATTAAATACATAATGACCCAAATCAAACTACATGTATGACGGAGAAATATCTAAGTTTTTATATAAAATTAATATATTATTATTAAATAAAACAAGGAGATATCTACACACTTTAAGACACTGAATATTTCTTTAAATCATGATCACATATGTTAGAACATGTTGTCAGGATATGATGCATATTCTAAATTTTTATGATTTATTAAAAAAAAAGGTTTATATGGAGTCAATATTTTTAGTAAGAGTCATCGAGCACAGGCCTGCCCCAGCGCAATATTTTGATATAAATTGTAGAATAGTAATACCAATGAAATATGTAAATCTTGTTTAGTAGTAGGCCTGTGCTCTATTAATTTTAGAGTAAAATTTGAACGAATTGTGTCCATTTTTTTCTTCTATCAAATAACATAAAAATCAAAATAGGTTTTTACGTTGGAAACAAAAATTGCTAATAACGTAGTTTGAAACTATTATATTTTTGTTAATTTTGATTTCTCATTCAATATATGCATATTTCAAGAAATTTTCAAATAATACCTTTGTTGGAGCAAAAAGATGCCTACATGAATAGCGCGTATAGATCTTAACAGGGTTTTAATAACAAATTTAATTAATTTACTGTTCTCAATGATAGAATATTACTATAATGATAAAACATTATAAGATAAAACATTACTGCTTTGTGTAATTTTTTTACCTTTCGATAAAATATTGTAATTAGTAAGAAAAAAACATTTCATTATTTTGTGCTAAAAGTGAAACCATCTATGTCACAAAAAGACATTTAAAATGCTACTGTATTAACAGGGATTTATTACCCCAGTTTTATGTCGCCCTTTTCCACCCTAAGCTCCGTTGGGGGGAATTCAAAAAATGATGAATGCAAAGAATACAGTAAAATTTATTAAAACAGGGCAAATTGTTTGCTAGTGTGAAAGGGCAAAAATAAAGCGGGGTGAAAATAACCTTGGTACATGTACGCATATTGTTCAAAATATAATTAGATTTTTATCTTAAAACAATTTTAAAACCATTTTGATCCATGTTTTTGAAATTGAAAGATTAAATGCACTGATAGACAATATTGTATTTTTGTATTTGATGAGCACAAAAAATGTAAAAATTTCACTTGTGATTGTCAATTAACTTCAAAACTCGATACACTCCCAAGGCAAGTTATGCTGTGCATGTAAGGATATGGATGATTTAAATAAATGAGTCAAGTAACTAAATTCAAAACCCTTTATGCTTCCAAGGCAAGTTAGGTTGCACATTTAAGGGTATGGATAATTTCAATAAATGAGTAAAGAGGAAAACCTTAATTTCTGCTTTATCCATCTCAGACCTGTAGCTGTAGGTATGTTGAATTAATTTTTTGGAGGTGGATCCAACACTGGTGTATCATCTTTATCTATGGACATTACCATCATGTATAAATTGTTGAGGAATTTCTCTGACATTGATCCTCCCGGAAATGGATGGGGAAAAGAGCCTAGAATAGTGGACATCACGGGGAGTGACGACATAGAAAGAATTCGATTGTATAGAAATAAATACAGCCATGATCCAGGAAGTAGCCCCGTAATGAGTGATGATCTTTTTAGCATAATCTGGGATGATCTTTCTAAGGTGAGTTAAAGCAATATACGTCGAGGGTTATTTTGTTGTCCAGCAGTGAATAGTATTCAATTGAGACAATATTTTGGTTGTGGATCATCTCTCGACTGTAAACGTTTATTTGTTCTAGAAGAGTAAGAGTGGCCATTCATTAGCGAAAAGAGCTTAAGTCAAACATTATACGACCTTTTTTATATCTAGCAATAAAAATAATTTCTAAGCATATATCTCTCAGAAGGAAATAGCTAACACAAATTCTTTTTTCAATAGAAACAAAAACAGAAAGGGGGCAAAAATTATATCAGTTTCAAACAATCCATTCTTTTGAGCATACATCTCTCAATAGAAAATAATGCAAATTACGTTTTACAGAAGAAACAAAACAAAATTCAATGGGACAAAAATTTATTTCTGCTAACAAAGCAACCTTTTCTGTATTTACATGTAGGTACATTTGCAAGGATCGACTATTTTCTCATTAATGCCATTTTTTCTGTCAAGCTTCAAAAAGTAGTTCCACAAAAGAAAAATTTTATTCAAAACTGAGTTGAAAAATGTGTTTGGTTTTTTAAATAATTAAAATTAGTTTATGTTTTAATATTTGTCATCAAAACCAATGTCATACTTTTATATAGGATTTGTCTCGTTTCTTTTCAGGCCATTCTAAGACTCAGTTGGGATGTTTTGAAGAGAAGGATAAAAGAAATATAACTAAGTGGATAATAAAAATTCACAATATTTACGTGACAACAACAAACATTTCTATGAGTGAAAAAGGTCGTCTTCATGGTGGTACTAGTATTCGGTTACATTTACTGTAAAAAAGTGCAATATTTTATGGTGCTGATGTTTTTTTTTGGGGGGGGGGACAAGATATTCATTTTCAAATGAAATAAAATGTGAAATACCCTTGATGGATAACAGTTCGATATTGAATTTAAATTTCTTACTATAAATGGTATTTTACATTTTACGTATCCCTAGATTTTATTATCTATATCTTTGAGTTTTGTAATAAATTGTGTTTTTGCCTGGTTAGATAATTTCATTTATCTCTTTCGATAAATGATCGATAAATAAAACGAAATTTTAGATTTTTTTTTATGGTATTTACTTGTGTTTTACTATTAATGCTGTGATAATATGTCTCAATGAATGTGATGAGTACAGCAGCCATTTGTTACGTCACATGCGTCTATCAGATGACCTTCCTATCTTTTTTTGTCTGTCGTCATCCCTTAACATCTGAACATTGCCAGCTCCTCCTCTTGAATGACAGAACCAATTTTATTGATATTGGATCTATCAGTGAAGGTGAACAAAATTTGAAAATACTTTTGTCAATGGGGCTAAAACCATAAAATTAATTACATTTTTTCAAAGTCTTCTTTTCTCTTAAACAACAGGCAATTGAGGTGTTGCCATAAATGCACACACTGTAAAAAGCACTTGATTCCTCCTCCTTTTTTAAAATTCCTAGCACCAGAAGCAGTTTTTTTGACGAACGGATCTGGCGTTCATACATGTAATCAAACTGTTGAATAAAGAAATTCTTATACAATCTATTCACTGTATATTTTGAAAAGAATAAAATAATAATAATTGGTTCCTTTGAAGTCTAATAATACAGTCAATCCTGTATTAAGAGAAACACCAAAAAAAATTGTCATATTATGTATATGACAGGTGGTCACTTAAAACAAGTTTCTTATCTTCTACAGTGTAGTCGCCCGCTTGGCACAGTGGTTAGAGCGTCTGCTCTAGAGTCGAGAAGTAAGGAGTCAATCCTTACGTCGTGGGTTCGAATCCCACTGCGGGACGTGGAAACCGTCCTTCGGATGAGACAGTATAAACCGAGGTCCCGTGTCGCAGTAGGTGCTGGCACTAAAAAGATCCCTCATTGCTCAAAGGTCCTGAGTGCCGAGCATAGGACAAAATTTCTAGCCCTCCACCGACAAGTGGTGCCGTCTCCACATAAGTGAAAAAGTCTCAAGCGGGACGTTTAACAACATACAATCAATCAATCAATCTTCTACAGTGATCAAAATAAATTTCTTAAAGAAAATTATTAAACATCAATATAGAATTTATTTTTTTTCAAAGTATCATTGATTTTAATTACTTCTTCCCAACTCTTATTTCTTGTATATTATTCAGAATAACTAATTTTTTTTAACATGAGAAAGGCTTTACAAAATCATACATATATTTGCTTAGAGATAAAATATTTCTCAGCTCCCTACTGTATTTGAACATATATTCATAATATGTATTATTTTAATACAGGGAAGGTTTTTTGTTGTTCTTGTCTTTTATTTTTGTTTGGTTGGGTTTTATTTTTAGGTCAGATGAGTAACTCAGGTGAGCTATTGCTATCCGTTTTCGTCAGTTGGCATGTTATATCAACATTTGAACATTTTCAGTTTCCTCTCTGATACCACTGAACCAATTTAATCTTATTTGGTATATAGCATCTATGGGTGAAGAGGAACAGAAACTATGAATTATGGGTTCCCGCCCCTGGAGTTAGTGATAATACTAAAATTATTGCAATCTTTAAAAATTTTCTTCTTTACTCCTGGACATAAAGCAGGCAAACTGTTGGCATAAATGTGATGAGCTTTGAGTCCTCTACAAAAATTGTGAAATTCATGGCCCCAGGATCAAGGGTTTTAATGTTAGGGCGGAGCAATATAAATTATATGGTGAAAATACATTAATTCTTTGAAAATCTTCTTATCTGTTCCAGTGTATTAAGTAAACTAAGTACATGGTTATGATGAGCAAGAGTTCTTCTTTAAAAATTTTGAATTTTATGGCCTAAGGGTCTGGGGTTCTGGTGTTAGGATTGATTGATTGATTGATTGTATGTTGTTTAACGTCCCTCTCGACAATTTTTCACTCATATGGAGACTCCACCACTTGCCA